TTTAGATCACAGATAAATTAGTCTGAGTCTCATCTCTTAATTAGACATATAGTAATAGATAATGTATAATATAAAAAATTATACAAACTGTAACAATATGTTCAAAAAATAAACAGACCTAAGGCATGACCTTATCTTAACTCCAAAAAAAAAAAAAAAAAAAAAAGTCAATATATAACATTTTTAAAAAATCATGAAATTTCTAAACTGCAAAAGGTCTTACTTTCAGTTATTACTTATTGAAATACATGGTTTGAAATGATTTATTATGTTTTTAATTATTTTTTCTTAATTCATAATTTTTTTAAAGACAAATCTAAAAATAATTCAACTGATAGTATTAAAAAAATTTTACTTATTCTTGATAACTTTAATAATTTAGGTCTTATTCAAATTTATTTTCATTTTATTACAGTTTATTCTTAAGAGTTCATTTATAATTTAAATTTTTTTCAGACTCAAAATGAACTTGTTTTTCCTTTAATATATAATCATCTAGAACAACTATTGGCTTACCTTCAATCTAACCGTAATTCTAATTCCTTTTCTGAGAAATTAGATAATACAATTCATCAACAAAAGAGTAATTCTTTACAATTTTATTCTATATTTTGTGAAGCATTTGAAATTGTATTTAAAAAGTTCAATTCTCATATTAATGCTTATCCTTCATATTCTTTATTCAAAACATGTTAAATATTTGATCCTTCTTATATTTGTTTTGGCTCATTAAAAAGAAAAAATATTCACCAATATTCTATTATTCATGAATTAGCTAATCCTTCAGAACAAATATTAAGAGAATAGGCTATTTATTGTGGGCTAACTGGAAATGAAATATTTGAAAATTTAGACATATTTTAGAAAAGTAATGCAAACAAATTACCATTATTATCTGATATAGCTTTGGATTATATTTGATTACCTATATCTAGTTGTAGTGTTGAGCATAGTTTTTCTATTTATAATAATATTTTAGCTAATGATAGACAAAATCTTTCCGAGACCTCACTTAAAACATTAAATATGATGTACTTTAATAAATAAAAATATTAATTTTTTTTTGATATTTTAAAATCACAGAATTTCTGCAAAATGATGTAAATTCTGCAATATTATGCATTTTGCAGAAAATCATCGTCCCTGGTTCCAACCACAGTAAAATCTCTATAAGTGCTCTATAAGTGCACACCTTCTCTAAATGCATGCTCAACTTTGGCCAAAATATACACATAACCTTCATAAATATATACACTTTTTCTTATTGTTCTCTAAGTGCACGTCATTAAAGTTCGATTCCAAGAGCGTGCACTTATGAAGGTTTTACTGTACTAATGACACTATAAAATTACCTTTTCAAATGAACACTCTCTACAAATGGTTGGTCCGCGTATATATAAGTTCGACTGTATTCAGAAATCCTATATTAAGAGATCGCCTTCCTTGAGTGATTTTACTATATAACCACCTAACTTCTAACTTTATTCTAACGCTAACCCTAATGAATTTTAAGAAATTTTACTACATTACAGTGATCAACAAAACCTGGCACAGATTTCTTTAATGTTGGCCAGTCAATCAACCAATCATTGCGATTTTGATTATCCAATCAAATTAAATCACTAGATAAGCTTTATAAGCTTTCTGAGTGTAACGGCAATGATTAGATGATGTGATATGACTTTAACAAAACCTTCTCTTGATTTAATTCGCCGGCTTATTCCTCCACTTTCATATGAACTACATAAAGGACAATCCGGTATATAATTATATCTATTTTCTCTATTTAAAGTATTATTACTAACATTCACAACTTTTTCAGGCCGAGTCTGTGTTATTGGTGGCTCTGAAGAGTATGCATGCTTTTCATATTTTTTTACATTTCTAGATATATATGAATAAGATCTTTTCATTTCAGTTATACAGGAGCCCCGTATTTTAGTGCGTTTTCAGCTTTGAAACTCGTAAGTGATCTATTTCTAATCTAATTCGTACATAGTTGTTTTTTAAGTAACCTTGACAACTTGGACTAACAGGGGGCTGATATGGCACATATTGTCTGCCAACCGACAGCTGCGATTTCTATAAAGGTATGGTTTTAATCATAACTTAGTTTTAATATTAAATGACTTACTTAAAAATCTGTTTAATGTCAGAATTATTCGCCAGGCATGCTTTATGAACTAGTCTCTTGAAAGTCTAGACGTTATTTGATTTTAAGTCCAATAGCTTATGTTTTCATTATGTTATAGATTTAATGGTACATCCTTATATGCGCATATCTGAGTTAGTATAAAATTTCTAGTCACTACTGCTGTTTTAGTTAATCTCATAAAATAACAATTAACCCTGAGCATAAAATATAAATATGAAGAAATACTCCTGATTTAATTCCCAAAGAGATAATAGATAATGTGACATCGCTTTTTAAACGCTTAAACGTGCTGGTTATTGGGCCTGGGTTATCAAGAGATAAGATGATGTTGGAGTGTGCTAAAGGTATCATATTAAAAGCCAAAGAACAAAATATTCCATTAATTATTGACGCGGTATGCGATCAGCGTGCATGGTTTGCTTTTTGGATGGTTCAGAGGGACTCAGATTTCTATTAACAATCTTTTGTATTAATCCGACCTGATAAGGATGGATTGTTTCTTATTCAAAATTACCCCGATCTTGTTAAAAATTATTCCGAGGCAATTTTGACACCAAATGTGAATGAATTTAGACGTCTTTGTGAGACAATGGTAAAAAGAAAATGTGTGTTTATATTATGGCGATAATCGTAATTTCATATGTCGACGTTGCATTTAGGGGATAGAATTTGAAGATGACCATGAAAAATTAACTAAAAACTTAAGCCGAGCTTTCGGTGGAGTAACCATTGTCCGAAAGGGTAAAAATGACATAATTTCTAATGGCAATTCAAGTAAGTAATACCGTTAGATAGTGTGATAAATTTTGATCAAATGAACGAAATGCATTAATCTATTTTAAACTTTTGGCTTAACATTAGCATTTTTGGTCGATAATAAAGGTGGCCTTAAACGTTGCGGTGGACAAGGTGATATTCTCACTGGGCTTATTTCCACATTTATAGCATGGGGCGTAGCATATAAAAAAAATATATGGGAGTAAGTTGAGATTCTTTTATTTGTTTTGCATTTAATTATTTTCTTGCATATAAACTGAGTTTCATTTTTGGACATTCTTGAAAAGGCATGATAATTCCATAACATCCTCAGATATTCCAATGTTGGCTAGTTTTGCGGGATGCACACTTATGAGAGAATGTTCATGGGCCGCTTTCGAGAAATTTGGACGTTCTGTTCAAACATCCGATATGATCCCGGAAATTGGACCATCTTTTCAACGCTTGTTTAAAAAGTAAATAGTTTATTATCTGGATTAAGTAAGTCTTGTATTTTTTCACCTTTGTTGCTAATTATTCTTAATGTCTGGACAAAATTGCGAATTTATTATGTCATATCAATAAAAGTAATTTAAGTAAATTGTGAGAATATACTTTCTTATTATATATCAGAGGATAATGTTAGCAATACATGAAATATTGTTAGACTTTAATGCTATATTAAGTATATTACCTTCTAATTTGTAGGCTATTTTATGCAAATTTGTTTAGAAAGCTAATTAAAATTTATATATTTTTTAAAAAAATTTGTTATCTTTTTTGTTTTTTCAACAAAATTATGCATAGTTATATCAGTAAAAAGCTTAATTTTTTACATTAGTTATTTTAAGCATTGCATTTCAAGATAGGTTCTCCTGCTAATTAACTATCTATATTTAGTTCTTATTAATATCTAATTATATTCTTATTTCTGTAAAAATAGTTATAAAACTAATCCAAATATAAATTAATAAAATAATTACCACAAAATATAATTTTTTTTTTTTTTATTAAGGTGACCTTTTTGGTTTTTTGATTTTTATTAATTATTTATCAGTATTGTGGTTCAATGAACCACTACAGGAGAGCGTACAATTGGTTACATGTATAACTTTTCTATATTACCTATTTAAGGAGTTCACCCGAAGGTTCCTCACTAATTGCTATATCTAACACTTCTGCTTGGATGTTCCACTTTAAACCCTCTGGACCTGTAATCTGTGTTGATATCACTGGTCATCTCAGATGTACCAGATCATCGTCCTCAACCTTAGGACTAATTTATTCTTGAGGTAAACCTCCCAGAGCCTTCTGTATCCATTTTTACAGTTGACTTAGGTATTGCTATGGCAGAACCAATACTTGCAGTCAGGGCTAACCATTAAACTGCTATGCTCTTGTAGAGTTCACTTAGACCCCAGCATCTACTTTATAGCATAACCCCAGTAC